TGCACATTCTCATTTAACATCCACTTCATGATGTTGTATTAGACACCATCATAAACACACTTTTTTCAAAAAGAAAAAAAAAACACAGAACAAAAAAATCCACCACGCGCATGCGCAACCTCCCCCACCCCACCCTTTATAAAGCTTGTCTGATCCTTCTCATTATACATGTCTTCCATTTCCAGCAAAGCTGTATAAAATCACTTCGGGCATATCCTGACCCTCAAATTACTTCTCTCTTCCCCCAAAGACAAAGAAGTTAAGCCACTGAAAGTGACTTTGAAAAGGAGCTGGTATCCACCAGTTGCTAAATCAGTGTTTTTAAAATAATGCGACTACCTGAATCAATGCTCTCTTGCTGTAGCAGAATTCTTTTTTTGGCCGCTAATACCGATCCATAAAATATCTAGTTCACAACAGAACAAAAGAATGATATAGAGGTTTTGATATGGAGCTCATCTCCCTGCTGGCACCACAGAAAAATAGCCAGCTGTAAGATAATTTGGCTATTAAAGTATCTGTAAATCAGTTTTTAGAGTTGTAGTATTTAAAACTAGGAACAATGCGTAAAACATTCCTTCACCAAAGGGAACGAGTGATTTTCTGTAAAGCTCTGACAAGTTACAGAAAAGTAGGTTTATCTCAGAAGAGTGGCTACGACTAACATGCAGTTCCTAAAGTTCCCTAGCTCTGTATGGTCTATTGAAAAGAACTTAATAAGGATACGTCATGAGTAGGGGAAAAACAAAAATAGACAAAAAAAATCAATACCAGAAACATCTGACCTCTCTCTAACAGTGTTTGTATGCATTTGGCTTCAATTATATTGGGGACTACTCCAATTGCTGTAATTCTCCTCTTGAGTTTTTTCCAAAAAGCTAAATATTTTATGACGATTTTACTGTTCTATTTACATTTTCACTGCTCATTTTTCCAAAAGGACATTAAGTATAGCTAATGACAAAACAATCATTTATCTACAATAAAATCAATGATTTTGACTTATATGTATTTCAGTATTAACACATACAGCTAAATTATCAAAATGTTCACATTATACTTTTGAAATGTTTGTTCCCATCTCAATAGAACAAAAATCTGACAAAGACTGTGCATGCATTAAGACTACGGTGCCTTTTAGTAAGGAGCCCTCAGGACACTGTCGTGTCTGAAGACGTTTGCCGCCGATACGTATAGCACTTTCAGCCGGATAATGCATGCCAGTTATGCGTGAAAGGACCAAGACAGACATAAGGATGAATAATACCGTATAAAGGAACTACAGTCTGTCCCTATCAACCTCCTAAACAAAGAGATGCTATTACGTCAGAGCAAAAAAATTAAGTGGAATGAGAGATCTTTATAGAAGCAGAACCTGCCTTCACACAAATCATGCTAGCATTATATACTGCAATTCATAACAGCACTGAAAAACATTATTACTCTGAAAGTCTGTAAAGGAGAAAACTTGAAAACAGGAACAGCTTCATGCTGTTGATCGCATTGGATTGAAATTGAAAAAAGATGACTTATGTAACTAATGACATGTACACCATCTACACTCTACTGGATACGGTTTTTGTGATTTCAAATACACTCACTCAAAAGTCCAGGGGAGAAAGGCAAACAGATACTGCTGTCAGCAATACAAACATATTAAGAAATGAGATGAGATGAATGAGAAGAAGCTTCATTCAAATGTCTTTCTAAGTTAAGTTAGACCCTGAAAAGCACTCCAGAGTGCAAGATGCGTTTGTTTCTCAAAAGATTTACTTTGGTTAGACCTTTCACTGTAGTCTGCTGCAAGCTCCAAAGGAAGCTCCTACACACGAGGCATTTAAGATCTTTGCTGTGTTCCTTTCCACAGGAAAATGCCATGTTCCATTTTCACAGGAAACCAAAAGTATTAAAGTCACTCAGATGCGTTACTGTAACTCCGCCTAACAACTTGCAAACTCATTCTTAATAACACGCTTCCTCACCAGTTCCCAAGCTTCTCCTGCAGACTTTTTCTACCAACTTGAGAGATTATAAAGTCTTTTTCATTCCCATTTTTCCAACCCATCTTCCAGTTTGCTTGCTTTCTCTTATAGCTTCTTTAACCTAAATTTTTCACTCAAGCACAAATAGACAGCATGAAATTATTCTAGGCAAGTTTTCACCTTCTTACACCAAACACTCCATATTTGTTATTGCTTTTTGCTCAAAAAAGCACTCACATACTTGTTCGTTATCATATTCATTCCTTTATTTTGTTTCCTTCTCAAATCATCCTGTGCCTTGCTCTTCCTTCATTACTCAAACCAGCCTGCTTAACTTTCTGAAAAGCAAAAAATTATTGGATTCCAGGAAAATTTAGTTTAATTTACAAGGTGTTTTAGAGGGCAGAGAAACCACACTGAACAATTCAGATATTAGACTTCAGCTAAAGAAATTATAACTGTATTACTTCCATTACATGGACAGAGCTTATTTCAGCAAGATTGCTGGTAACTAGTACTTTGAACAGAAATCCTACAGTATCACAGACGGTCAGTTCTTATCTTATTCACTACTCCTGCTCCATAATTAAGAAAAATTGCTCTTTGGACAGAAACAAATAACTGTTGCTGGTATAATTATTAATGAAGTGGAAGTCACAATTTTATACTCCCCCTCTCCCCCAACAGATCACTAACTGAAGAGTTTCTGCATATTCCCTATTAACATAACTCTGTTGCTGTCTGAAGCAAATAAATCAATATCTTTTAATCAGAAAATTAATAATAAAGTTAGATAAGGCTTTTTTTTTTTTTTTTTAAGAGATTAAGCACTTTCAGTGACCTTGATTGAATCATATATGTTCTAGTAGTTGCACATTTAACTTGGAATGGCAGTGTCCTTGTTCAAGCTATGAAGAACTTTTTATCAACTACTGAACTAGTACTAGTATTTAAAAGTTGTAGTCTACTGACTTAACCTAGGTACATAGCCAAACATGCTACAATTCAAGCCATTAGAAACAGAACTAGCAGGCTGATCTTAATTTAGACATCTACATTAGTGTCTCACAGATAAACAGAAGATGCACAGCTGCCATTTCAAAACAATCATCATTGTTCTACATAAGAGTAAGAAAAGGTTACCTTGTGGGCAACTAAAATGACATGTTAAGTGGGCATTTGTGCTTAAGATCCCAAATAAAATTCAGGTATGCTAAAGCTCAAAACTCTGCACGAACAAGCAAACCTCCTCTGCTTCTGTAACCCAACAATAATAGCATCAACATTCCAAACTTCTTTCCCTTCCTAACTGTTTGAGATCTGTGAAACTTCACTAAATAACTACACGTGACATATAGAAGTTTCAACCTCTTCATAAACACAATAAGTAAACAAGATAACAGTGTCAGTCTGTCTAAAGACATACTGGCCTGCAACCTACAGAGCAGCAGTGGTTTATTTATTTTTTTTAATTTTAACATTTTAGTTCTCAGAGTACAACACAGGTGCAGGCAGATGCAACTCAACTCCCAAAGGAGGAACCCTGTAAGAACACTCGCACACATACCCCCCCACACCAAGAGGAAAGCATACTAATGTTCATGAATTCTATCAGCAAGAAAAAGCTGACACTAAAAGGGGCATTTCATATTTAGCTATTTTGGAAGTTATTTGTGCAAAAATATGCATTCAACGCAGAATTATTCTTGTTCCTCCATTAGATCCTGAATTAAAAGGCATGGGACAGAAACCAGATACTTTAGAATTTCTCCGCTACTCTCTTTGCCTATATCAATTCTCTTTATAAAATCATCTCTTCACAAAGCAGCTGTTCAGATTAACTCATGTCATAGGGAAATGACTTTTGAGCAGGGATTGTTTCAAATTGGTTTTAATGCACTGAACGGGAGAAGTAACCATTTGTGCATTTTCCTCAAGAATCAAATACCTTTCAGTACCTCCATTGTGCTTACATATTTCCCTCAATTGACATGAGTAACAGTATTAGGTACAAACTAAAATGTACTTATGAATATAGAAAAGTCTTAGGAAGCAGAAAAGACTACTCTGATTAAAGGCAAGTCAATGCCAATTTCTTAATCCCTGTATGCTACATCCCTATATACTGAATGTAGGTTTGATGCAAGGATTAGAGAGTAGCTTTATATCAGAGGTTGCTCTTTATTCTTATTATAACAAAACAGAAGTACTGCAGATGACCTACGTAGAAGAACTTGCAATATCCGAAAAGCTTGTTTTGGGTACAATTAAAAAAAAAAGTCCATCCATAATTACAAAATACATCTTTGCTTTCACTTTACAGTGTACATGTTCAAAGCACCTTTATCCCCCCAAAATTTCTCTTCCCCTCCAGAAATTTCCATTTCCTAAATTCAATCCTACAAAAGACTTACCAAATATTAATTAAAAAATAATAATCCATAAACTCAACCATCACTTAACATAAAATGCAACAGAGCACTTACTAAGATAAAAGCTATGCTGTAAGTGGCCTCACCTTATGTTTATTAATTGACCATCTGAAATCCTATATGCTAATCCTATTTCCACACTGATATCCAGCAGCTGACAGTTCCACAGTGACCTATGAATGCTAACAATTACGACATTACAAAAGTTCACACCTGAGTAAAATAAAATAAACCAAAGACTGCAATTTAAGCTTTCAATTAAATGACTTCAATAAAAAAAAAAAATTAAGATAAGTCTAATTTAGATTTGTTGCTCTTCATGAACAGATTCCCAACAAGTCTAAAGTAGCTGGAAATAGATTCTTGAAAACTTAAAATAAATAGATCCTTCAACTTAATAGCACAATCAACAATTTTACACTAGGGAGATAAATGTGACTATGTTAATTGATCATCACTGTGATAAAACAAGGACTAAATGCTACCCACTGAACTTTCAAATCCATGATAAAAGCCTAAAATATTCCAGGATAGCCTCTAAAAAATGAAATGCATTCATAACAAAAACCATCATGTTCATACTCACCGGAACTTTACTTCCGACTATCTGCATGCAGTGGTCAGCCAAGAGATTATTGTGTAAAAGAAAAATAAATAATAATAATAAATAAACACAGCAAAGTAATTAGTAGGATGTAGCATCACACAAAAATATTTCAATGTTTCATCATTAGTAATAGTTACATTCTTTCATTAATTTATCAAAATGTTTAAAAGTTATAGCTCCTCAACAGGAAAACAGTAGTTCTACTGTAGGAGAATAAAAGTTGAAATTCCTTAGGTTCTACTGCTGAATCATTAGTATTTTGTGTGTTTACAAACAAATCAACTAAATATCTAGCTTGATATGTACGTATTGAGATTAAGAGATGTGGCATATTGTTAAAATTATCAGGTCAGACATGTTACATACGACACTGAAGAGCTACAGAGAAAACCCTGTAATAGCCTACTGACTTTAATTCATATACAGCAACTTCATTCATTACAGTGCTTCTGATCTATTTAGATGATGTCATCATTGGATTTAATTAAGTTTTCATAATCTAAAACAAAGCCTATAGTTATAAACTAGTACTAACCAGTACTTCAGAAAAATCTCATGTGGCATTTTTCTTCAACTGCTCAGTATGGATGTTTAAATCACTGTTTAGCTATCCACGTAATTAAACAGAATCACATTTTCTTTGTCCTGCCATGGAACAGCACCTTGCATGTACACAAACAGGATGTTGACCTTACACAGAAGAAAAATTCTGCAGAAAGGCAGCACATCCCTGCCCTGTTCTATTACTTTGCACAAATGACCGTGTTCTTGTGAATACTAGTACTACGGACTTCTGCCTAAATATTCTAGGCCTTTCTCTGGCAGCTATTTGCTGCAATCTGGCAGCAGCCAATTTATCTGATATCTACCTCTATCTGACTAAGAGCATGAGAGTAATGTTTTGTTCTGAGATCTGAATCTGATGGTATCTGTTCAGCCTCTACCTGCTCCACTTTCTCCTCCTACCCTTTAGGAACTCTCAGAAAACAGGAGTCCCTGCCAGTCTTCCATGATTGCCTGATCTCTCCTCCTACTGATGAAGTGTCATCCAGAAGCACAAGATGAACTGTCATCACCAGATAGACCATCTCTTTTGCTCTAATTCACAACACTTTCTCCTCCTGCCAACATTAGCCTTGGTCAATATGGCCAAACGCCACCAGTTCAGTTCTGAAAGAGTTTTGAGCCCTCGTCCTTTCTCCAGGTATAATTCCCATGACCAATAATCCTTCTCTTTGAGTTGGAAGAGTAACTAGCTAACACCTAAGCCAAGTCTGTGTATTTCCAGATGCTTTAAGTCCACTAAAGTTTAGAAATAAAGCATAAATGCTTTTTACTGAATAGTAATTTGTACAAGTTTTCTCCTCTCTACATATAAAATAAATGTAAAAGATTTATTAGAAAGTGTATGTATAAAACTACACTAATACGTCACCTTCTTCTGAAATTTCAAAGTTGTGCATCTCGCTCAACGTGCATTAAAACAAAGAGAACACAGAAGAACTTTCACCGAACTCTTTGTTGCAGCATATACAGAGTATCAAAAAATAATCCTTTTGTGGTTTCAAGGAATATGTCATATGTGACATGGCAAAGAAGGAACTGGAAGCCCAAATAACTGCATCACATCCAAGCATCCACCTTATTAGCTACTATCCTTCCTCCATCCCCCAAGGAAAAGGAAAGCTTCTTCCATCCATTGGAAACCAAGCTCTTTCCTCACGCAGAACTCTGAAGAGAGTACAGTGTTTCAGAAAAGAATGGTCTACTTACTGAAGATGGCACAGAAGGCAAAGAAAATGAAGTACTGATTTTTAAATTTGACAAGATCAGGAAATGAGATTCATATTTCAGATGAGTGCAGAGAAGCACAAAAACCTGACTAAAAAGAATACAAAATGGACTGGAAGTCACATCAACTATTAAGTGTGTTCCAAGAGCCATGAGCTCTAAACGGAAGAAACCTCTCAAGTATGTTCAGTACAAAAAGAACACAGATGAACAATTATCTGTGACCAAAGAAAAGGAGAAAATTTTAAGGAAGAAGGAAGAACCATGAATTTGTACACAGTCAATATTTTCATGGAAGACAAACCTGAACACGGCCTGAAGAGAAAGTTTAAGCTGCCAAAACGCAGAAACAATTGGTTAGGGCTAGAATCCAACCAAATGTTAGAGTAACAATCCAACTAAAATGATGACAAAATTAAAGGTGAAGATAAGGTTTTAAGGTTTTCACTTATCTTAAGAGTGCAATCAATACTTTACAACTAAGTTTTATTTTTTGCATTTTAAATACCAAGTAACTTGAAAGGTCATTCATATTTCTGAACAGCTTTTAAAACTCCATTTTTACATTTGAATCATAATATTCAAGTGGCTTATTAAAGAATACAAGCAAGCCTTTTACATTAGGAAAAATATTTTGCATATTAACAAACCATCCATACTGGAGCTGAATGAAGTTCAGAGCACCTATCCACACATTAGGACTTTCAGGGGTATTTTTTTAAACCGTTATTACCTTTTGGCAAATTTATCCCCAGTTCTGTTCCTTTCCCATGCTGTAGCTCATACAGTGGCAGTAATGCAGTTTGTTAAAATTTTCAGCAGTTAGACATGCAATGGTAGCCATGCTTTTGTTACTCAGCTATAAAATTCTGAGAATCAATAAGGCTACATTTCAATACCATGATATATAAAAGAGATCGTGATCTCCCACCTGCTTTTTGTGAAAGAGTTTCAAGAACTTCCATTGTGAAAATTTCTAACACTTCAACAAAACAGCTTTGCTTGCTCAGAAAAACGTTAAGCTTTAACATTCAATATCAACCGAAGACAAACTTCTACAACACAATCAACAGTTCTCAGAGATAGTCTATACAAAGTATATTAACAGGAAATTTCGTAACATTTACTGCATAAGCTTGAATAATTTTCCAATGAATAATTTTCCAATGACTTGTATGTTTAGCCAGACAATGACGTGCATGTTTAGCCAGATTCATTATGGGACAGTTGGGAAGACGGGAATGACTGCGAGTTTTGTTTAAGATGAATGCATCCAGAAACGTCACTCCTCTCAAAGCAGATCACCAATTGCACATTACAATGCAAGTTATTCCTCATTTAAGAAATAGTTTAGAAAACTGAACACAAAGCATTCGGGTTTACCAATTGCATGTAATTCTAGTTTTAATTTTTTGAAATTAAAACTCCACAGTAGTGGGTTTTAAGAGTCAAATTAAAAACGAGTGAACTATATCACTTGCAGTCCATCCTTATGGATTCATCAGGCAAACATCAACAATCTTATTTGCCAGCTGTTCTTCAAAAAGACGACTATTTAGTACAATCTTATCTGTATTTTACACACAGACTTAGCTATGTAGAACTGCTAGAAGTGCTGCCATCAGGTATTTGAACAATTATTCTATATCCAGGCTTCATTTCCAGTAACGTTTTACTGCAAACAATAACTGAAGTGTGAAAACAGGAAGAGTTTCATCCTCATTTCCAAATAAACCCGCACATATCATTTAATTATATTGAAGAACTACACTGATAGCAAATTTCACTTATCACTTGAAACATGTTTCTGTCCCTTGACTACCAAAAGCTTCCCTCCACCTGCCCTTGCTGTTACTCAGCTCTGACAACACTAATACATTAAGTTGCTCAGAATTCTGCACTGTCTTCTTTAAAGTTCTATATACAGCAAATAGTAGCAAAACCAGGACAAAACCAGCCTTCCAAAGAAATCGCATTTATTTGTCATTGTGCTACATACAACATTCAACTAGTTTTGTGAAATATTTTCTTTTTACTCCAGAAGAGCTCTATTTACTATAGTCAATTTTTAACACAGAAAAAGTATTACTGTTCTATTTAACAGCTCACTAGTACTGCTACTCCCTCTACTGCAGAAAAAATTGCAGCTCTTCACCATTTGAGATCAATAATATATTTCTCCATCCCAACAGATGTTGAAGCATACAGTAGCTCTCTTTCACTTCCACTAGCCTCAGCTAGATAAACTCAGAAATTTTACATGAAATACCCTTCAGTTAAGGGTTAATCAATCATCTTCATTACAGAGAATGATCAACACAAATGAGATGACTGAAGATAAACTTTTCTACTCAAACTGCTTCAGGGAATATTTTAAGACCACTTTTTCCACTAAATGAATCATTTTATTTAACTTCAGAACATTTCTTAGCAGAATATTTAACACAATCTACAATGCAGCTACCATAATCAATGTTTTCAAACTAAGTTATAATACTGACTTATTTTTATTTGCAGTATTTTCGTTCCCTGTTTCCAACGCTGCAAAAGGTATGTACAGTAACAACGCATGCCATTACTGAAACCGTAAAGTCATACTAGCCTTTCTAAGCCTTTTGGCTATCATGAATTTGTAAGATGAATTGCACAAAAATATGCTCAGGTTCTATACGTATGATACTCTGCATCAGAGAATTTGCAACTCCTTGTAGTTTACGTGAATATGTCAAGTTTTTATGTTGCCCAGCAACTGAAATTCAAACTAATTAACACTTCAGCCACAGTTGCAGGCATTTCAAAATATATTAGCAAGCACAGATTTTTTTCCCTTTATCACTCTTAGGTTATATCCAGACCAAAAAAAAAAAAGTAGGAATTTCAGCATGAAAAACGTAACATTGGCTAACCTAAGCTTATTAGTTTCATCTGTCTCGGAGAGGTGACTACTTACAGATTTGGCAGTTGCAGAAATGTACTGGACAACCATCTCACGTTTTGTTGTCAAGTCTTTATCTCTTAAAGGAGCTTTACGTTCTTCATTTAGATTCATGTCTTCCTGTGAAGAAGCAGACCACACAATATCATTATATTTCATGGTTTTTATTCATAGCCCTAAGGCCATACTCATCGTTTTCAGAGTTTTCTGTATCATCCTTTAAAATTGTTGCAGAGTTTCTCACAATCCTCAAAAGATCACATCTCCTTATACTTCATATACAATCATCATTGTGCATGACAGAAGTAATACATTCCTATTTCAAAAGCTTGTTTCTATATCACTAATAGAAAAACACATTTGTGAATGGTATCGAGCCTTGATAAATGAACCTAAAATAGAAAATACTCAGGAGCATATGAAAATTTAGCTTTCCCTCTACTGTAAAATTTTATTAACGGAAATGACTATTTGGCAAAGAAAGTAACACAAGCCTGGTAAAAACTGTTCTTCAGCAGCATTATCTACCTATCACAAACTAAGATGACTACAGGTTAACTTAACAGAGTAATCAGTACTCAACAGCTTGAAATTTTCAGTTTTTGGCTTTTTGATTGGTTCTTCTATAGAAGTAATTGAAGTAATTTAAATGCGTGGAATACTAGCACATACTCTTTATAATTGATACAATTGTTTATGTAACAATTTAGATAGGCCATTTAGAGAGGCCTATGCTATGCTCCTTCCCCTGCCCCACACTGTCAACATAATACTGCCAAAACTACATTTGAAAATTACTACTACTTAATAAACACTGACATGAAAACAAATGAAAATCTCAAAGTGATTTGACACATCATCTTACCATCATTTTTTCAAAGAGATCCATAACTTCTTTTTCCGATAAGTTCATGCAACGTTCATCAACAACTGGCTGGGCAACTGGGAGTTCACTGATAGAAGCTTGAGAGTCAATAGGATGCTGAATAAGAGGTTTCTCTCTTTTCACTCCTGATTTTCTAAAGCTTGTTATTCTGTCACGCTGCAAAGATATTCATTTTAAATAAGCACATCCAAGTAGAAATATAGGAAAGTAGATATGTTAACTCCGTTTGCATAGCAGTAATATAAATGTTCTTAAAGTTAATCCAAGCAGCAGCATTAAAACTCAGAAACTGTGCTGTAAGAAAAAAATATTTTTACATATAGACATTGCATTTCATAGAAAGACATCATTTAAGGTAGATTCATGGCAGGTCATATGTGAAACAGAAGTAACTATCTTTCAGACTCAAAAGTACACCAACTACATCAAATTCTTCACATGTCAAGATCTTGAGTTGATCTTCTCACGTTACTCCCTAACTACCCTTGTAGTGAATAAATACAGTAGCATAAAGATCATGTTAAACATTCCTTAACCTGAAGGAGCTGCAAGTCTTTCAGGATAACTGAAAAAGCCAGCAGTCGGGGAAGGAGGTACTCACAAATTCACCAGGCTTATATAAAAATCCTGCTAAAGTAAAATAAAGTTTTTACAGGAATTAGTGCTTCAAGTAACATTTACAATTCTTTGAAGTGTTTTTGAGTACAGACTCCTGAAATCAGTGCATAATTTTAAAAAGTTAGGCAATGTATTACTTGCATAGAAGCAGCCATTCACAGTTAAAGACATGTAACAGACATTAGTGAAAGCATAACATGTAGTCTGCAATGAAATTTAACTTGTTAAGGCCGATTTGTTTTATGAACTCTACCCAACCCCCCCTTTTCTTTAACTAAAGCAGTACATGCTTATTCAGTTAATTTGTTAATATTAGAAACTTAGTGCATCTTCCTTATAAGGCTGTTTGCGACTGTATTATTTAATATGTAACTATTCTGAATAACATAATTATTAAAAAATTTGCAATAATATCATTTTTTAAAAAGTGTATGTGTATATATACACACATATACATGCACACACGTATGTTCATATCAGGAATGTTATATCTACAGGGATTTTCTAAATAAGCTGTCGGCATCAACAAATATTTAGGTATTAGTTTTGCCTCTAACAGCCTTACGAAGATGTACTTTTGTTTAACAGCAGCTTATGTAGGCATTACCAGTATCATTCATAACTTCACGGATTTTATAATAACTGTCACTTAAAAGAAAGTTTAATGTTGCCTATAAGTAAACAACTTCTGTGATTCATGAAGAATTCAAAAGTAGATTTCATTTGCAAGAAACCTGGATTAATTTGAAGTTAGTCCAGTCACGAGTGGAGATATTTGACTAAGTGGAGTGGAAGATAGGTAAGGGGCTTTTTTTGTTGTTTTTGTTTTGTTTTTGTTTTACAGACACCTCAAGACTAGAGTTAATTTTTGAACAGAAAGTATCCCTAGATAAGCTGCATGTCCTTTTACTTTGTTTGGGAATTTTTTTGCTCTGGGTTTTTTTTGGTGGGAGGGGAATGGTTTCCTTAGAAGTCTTACATTTGTGGACAGAAACACATTACTGAAAAGGATATTGTCAACTTTAAAATGTAAATAATTTTAATTATATTTTCTCTTATTTACATTTCCTTGAAAACAAAATTAGGGCATAGCCTATTTAAAAGCCCACAAAATACTATATAATGCTGTAAAGACAATACTCAAACGTCTCCAATAAACATCAAATGCAATTTTATTCATTTATATTAAAACACTCTTTTGGCAATCATTTAAAAGGGCTTTTAAGATCAATTTTACTGTAAACTGTTTCAAGCACACCTTATTAAAAACGAATTTGTTTAACCAGATTGTGATGGCAAGATCACTTTCAAGTCAAAAATGAAGCTTAGACATGGTTATCATATACAGTTTCTTCATCTCAAATAGATGACTGATGATGAACTAGATAGCCACTGAATAGCCAGAATGGCTTAACTGTCATATCCAGAAAACCATAGTCAGTAATTTTACTGCAATCAATTTTGAAACGATAGTATACAGTTTATGTAAAATACTTGGCAATAGGTTTCAAAGTATTCAATATTATCAAGTTAGTGCTACTGAATATAGACTACTTGTTTGACATGCAGTACACAATTATTAGCCAAAATAGTCCCATTTGAATCATTTTGCAACCTACTTTGAAGAACCACCGCAGATACTTTCCTGTTAGAAAAAGGAAATAACATTCCTAACAGTTTGAACATGTCTGCAGTGTTTACTCAAATATTTACTGTGCTTAAAGAAGCTTCTCCAGATTGATATCATTACTTTTCTTTAACTGAAGTTATAAATGAAGTTCTTCAGGCATAGTAGTCTCACAAATTTTCTGAAGTCTAAATCTTAATATCCTTATAAGAACATGTCGCATTGCCCACAACGTTTGGGAGTAAAATAGCATGCAGGGCAGGGTTATCATTACAAACCAAGATGTCAGGAGGACCTTACCACATCATCTGCCAAAGTTTTTATCTGAATATTCTATTTAGGAAAAAAAAAAAAAGAAGAAGAAGAAGAAAAAAGGCAGTTATCTATTGTTTCACAAGAGTCTGTTTTATACATTCTATCATTAAAAATCACTCACAATTTCAGTAACTGTTCTAATAGAAACAAAACTAAAGAGCATGGAATCAGAAAGCAAGCACATTTCCTATTACTCTTCATAAAATACTATAATTCACTATATTTTAGGAGGAAAGATTGACTTACATTACCTTTACCAATATCTTTTGACTAACTCATGAACCTGAAACCTATATAGTCCTAGTACCCTTTATGCTTCACAAAAATGGAATGAGATCTCAGAGCAGTTTTCCAAAGATGACCATTTTTTTCTCTTAGATAGCTCGGAGTTAAGACTACTGGACTTCAAACTGAATCAACAGAAGACAAGCAGATAAACTATTAGGACATTCTCAATTTTGACAGAGTTATCAAGACTGGAAGAGATGAGGAGACATAGTTGTGCCTTAGCTTCTTGAGGCTTCGGCTATTTTCTCGCTGCCTCATTCACCAAATTCCTCTAAACTACCAGTAAAGCAAACTGACAGCTGAATTGGCTAAAGTTAGTGACTGGTTTCTGCACCATCAGTACACTACTATCTCTACCTACCTCATATCTTTTTACTTTTCCTCAACCATATTAAAAAACTGACAAAGATCACTGACATTGTATCTTTAGTCACAGCCAAGAAAGCAATCTACACTGCATACCAAGATTGACAATCATATCAAGAAAGCATTAGGTTAATAAATATTGTTCAATTTACACCAAGCAGTCAAGAATAGGTAGCTTCTAAAACTTAAAAAAGACTCTCAGAGATAAAAAATAACTACTGTATCTGAAAAAACTGTGGTAGTTGATCCATGACACAGCTACGCAAGTCACTGGTTAGTAGCCTGGTCTTCTTGCACACAAAGGTTTCATATTTCTTGGTTATACTCACAGCAGCTGAAGGGATCAAGGTGCTTCTGGTCAGAACCCCATACCACATGAATCAATAAATCTTTGATTGGGCTTTGGATTGTTTCATGCATACTGTACGTCCTGCATTAATTATGGGGACTGATCAATGGCTCCACTTACAAGAAGCGTTCAGTTTCATAAAGAACTCCTAAATGCCAAGGGGGCATTTTTGGGATAGCAATCCATTTCTAGGAGGTACTATTCTGATCATGTCCTCAGACTTTTTGCCATGGCTTTATTTAGGCTCAAAAAACAAGTTAGACCTACAACAATTCCTCCATTAAATTGAATCTTTCTAAAGGTCTGCATTCCACTGTTTCTCTGAAGTAAAAAAAATATTAAGCCAGGAACCTTTCAAGCCAGAAGCAGCAGCAGCAGTGACTGACTAATTAAATAGGCAACTCCAGTCATGCAAAGTCTCAGGTAACTGCCTTAAGGTGATTGGTAGCTGCTCATCAATAACAGTATTCAACCAAGACATCATTTTGACAACAATGAACATACAATTAACCAAAAAAAAGGTCAGTTCATACGCTGTGTTACTGATGGGGAATACATACAACATTAGGACCACCACAAAGCAAGTTTGAAAAGTGAATAAGCCTAAAAGAGGTCATCAAGGCAGAACATTTAGTCTGCTGTCCTCTGCCTGAAGATTAATTGTACCTACTAGTCCACAATTCAGACTCCAGGCAGTCAAACTAAAATTTGAATACATATTTACTAATGCAACTCTCTACCCATCAGGCTTTTTCTTTACTCCTGACAATTTGAAGTCTGACATTTTGTCAGATAGTTATCAAACTAAGTCCTATCTACGGATGAGCTACTACCAAAATAGATAGCCTCAACCCCCAAGCACAATGCCACCACCTCTATCCTTTGTGCCAATGCTTGCACTCAGGCAAGTTTACATTAAACCTATTCAGAGGACGAGCATGCAACTAACAAAACGAAAGAAGTTACTATATCTTCATGAAATTATCACTATCTAATTACCTCCTCAAACTGGCTCACCAGAAGATCAAATGAACACTAGTGTTAGCCCAAGCAACAGAGAAGCCTGCTTCTTTCACTCATAACAAATTCTGGGAGCATTTATTAAACAAATACTATATACCAAAATCAAGTTCACAAAATAATTAACAGGATGAATGAAAAATCAACAAGGTAAGGTTGCTTCCAATTTCAGGGTTGAGGTTTTTTTGGTTTTCTTTTTTTTTGGTGGTGGTGGGGGTGAGGTGGG